TATATGGGAATGTTTGCTCAATACAAAGTTACAACCAATTGATTGCAGCATTACTGCAGAAATGGAGAAGGCAAGTGTCTGCCCTATTTTTAAAGATCAACATTGGCTGAAAAAGATTGGCATAAATAAACAAATATATACCAGTTTCATTTGAGGACAAAATGTTGCCAGCTGTGCCATACAGGTTGGAAAATAGCTGAGAAGCCATTTTCGACGTAGTGATTCATCGGTTTATGAACTGATACACAAAACCACGCTGGATTCAACACAGATTTTTTCAATTAAAATGTTTATACAACATTCTTGCCACTAACAGAATGTTGTATATAAGTGGAATACAACAGAATGTTATATATAAGGGGAATACAACATATTTGTTATATATATATGGGGAATACAACAATCTCAGCTCTGGAGATTTTGCTGCGAAGAAACAGAATCACTAGATCATTTATTCTGGTATTGTCCCCATATAGCTTGTTTCTGGTCACAGGTTCAGGTGGTTAAAAAAATCACAACATTCATTTAAAGTTAACCCTACTAATAGCAGTGTTAGGTGATGGAAAGCCATAGCCAATCAATCAACAACATAATAAAACTCTTAGGAAAAATATTAATGTTTAATATACAATCTGTGGATACTATGAGATTAGAAAGGTTCAGAATTCATGTAAGACATCGCAGCAAAGATTAACAATATATGGTACAGTATAAACATATAGTACATCGAAAACAGGAGAGGGGGTCTATGGAGATAGATGGGATGGGCTGGGGGTCTATGGAGATAGATGGGATGGGCTGGGGGTCTATGGAGATAGATGGGATGGGCTGAGAGTAGCAGGAGAGGGGGTCTATGGAGATAGATGGGATGGGCTGAGAGTAGCAGGAGAGGGGGTCTATGGAGATAGATGGGATGGGCTGGGGGTCTATGGAGATAGATGGGATGGGCTGAGAGTAGCAGGAGAGGGGGTCTATGGAGATAGATGGGATGGGCTGAGAGTAGCAGGAGAGGGGGTCTATGGAGATAGATGGGATGGGCTGAGAGTAGCAGGAGAGGGGGTCTATGGAGATAGATGGGATGGGCTGGGGGTCTATGGAGATAGATGGGATGGGCTGAGAGTAGCAGGAGAGGGGGTCTATGGAGATAGATGGGATGGGCTGAGAGTAGCAGGAGAGGGGGTCTATGGAGATAGATGGGATGGGCTGAGAGTAGCAGGAGAGGGGGTCTATGGAGATAGATGGGATGGGCTGGGAGTAGCAGGAGAGGGGGTCTATGGAGATAGATGGGATGGGCTGGGAGTAGCAGGAGAGGGGGTCTATGGAGATAGATGGGATGGGCTGGGAGTAGCAGGAGAGGGGGTCTATGGAGATAGATGGGATGGGCTGAGAGTAGCAGGAGAGGGGGTCTATGGAGATAGATGGGATGGGCTGAGAGTAGCAGGAGAGGGGGTCTATGGAGATAGATGGGATGGGCTGGGAGTAGCAGGAGAGGGGGGTCTATGGAGATAGATGGGATGGGCTGAGAGTAGCAGGAGAGGGGGTCTATGGAGATAGATGGATGGGCTGGGGGTCTATGGAGATAGATGGGATGGGCGTGGGGTCTATGGAGATAGATGGGATGGGCTGGGGGTCTATGGAGATAGACGGGATGGGCTGAGAGTAGCAGGAGAGGGGGTCTATGGAGATAGATGGGATGGGCTGAGAGTAGCAGGAGAGGGGGTCTATGGAGATAGATGGGATGGGCTGGGAGTTAGCAGGAGAGGGGGTCTATGGAGATAGATGGGATGGGCTGGGGGTCTATGGAGATAGATGGGATGGGCTGAGAGTAGCAGGAGAGGGGGTCTATGGAGATAGAAGGGATGGGCTGGGAGTAGCAGGAGAGGGGGTCTATGGAGATAGATGGGATGGGCTGGGGGTCTATGGAGATAGATGGGATGGGCTGGGAGTAGCAGGAGAGGGGGTCTATGGAGATAGATGGGATGGGCTGGGAGTAGCAGAGAGGGGGGTCTATGGAGATAGATGGGATGGGCTGGGGGTCTATGGAGATAGATGGGATGGGCTGGGGGTCTATGGAGATAGATGGGATGGGCTGGGGGTCTATGGAGATAGACGGGATGGGCTGAGAGTAGCAGGAGAGGGGGTCTATGGAGATAGATGGGATGGGCTGGGAGTAGCAGGGAGAGGGGGTCTATGGAGATAGATGGGATGGGCTGGGGGTCTATGGAGATAGATGGGATGGGCTGAGAGTAGCAGGAGAGGGGGTCTATGGAGATAGAAGGGATGGGCTGGGAGTAGCAGGAGAGGGGTCTATGGAGATAGATGGGATGGGCTGGGGGTCTATGGAGATAGATGGGATGGGCTGGGAGTAGCAGGAGAGGGGGTCTATGGAGATAGATGGGATGGGCTGGGAGTAGCAGGAGAGGGGGTCTATGGAGATAGATGGGATGGGCTGGGGGTCTATGGAGATAGATGGGATGGGCTGAGAGTAGCAGGAGAGGGGGTCTATGGAGATAGATGGGATGGGCTGGGGGTCTATGGAGATAGATGGGATGGGCTGAGAGTAGCAGGAGAGGGGGTCTATGGAGATAGATGGGATGGGCTGAGAGTAGCAGGAGAGGGGGTCTATGGAGATAGATGGGATGGGCTGAGAGTAGCAGGAGAGGGGGTCTATGGAGATAGATGGGATGGCTGAGAGTAGCAGGAGAGGGGGTCTATGGAGATAGATGGGATGGGCTGGGGAGTAGCAGGAGAGGGGGGTCTATGGAGATAGATGGGATGGGCTGAGAGTAGCACGGAGAGGGGGTCTTATTGGAGATTAGATGGGGATGCGGCTTGAGAGAGCAGGCAGAGGGGGTCTATGGAGATAGATGGATGGGCTGGGCGTAGCAGGAGAGGGGGGGTCTATGGAGATCGATGGGATTGGGGGCTGTAGAGTAGCAGGAGAGGGGGGTCTATGGAGATAGATGGGATGGGGCGGGAGTAGGCAGGGAGAGGGGGGGCTATGGAGATACGATGGGATGGGCTGAGAGTAGCAGGAGGAGAGGGGGGTCTATGGAGATAGATGGGATTGGGCTGAGAGTATAGGCAGGAGGGGGGTTCGAGTTAAGTCGATAGATGGGATGGGCTGAGAGTAGCAGGAGAGGGGGTCTATGGAGATAGATGGGATGGGCTGAGAGTAGCAGGAGAGGGGGTCTATGGAGATAGATGGGATGGGCCGGGGGAGTAGCAGGAGAGGGGGTCTATGGAGATAGATGGGATGGGCTGGGAGTAGCAGGAGAGGGGGTCTATGGAGATAGATGGGATGGGCTGAGAGTAGCAGGAGAGGGGGTCTATGGAGATAGACGGGATGGGCTGAGAGTACAGGAGAGGGGATCTATGGAGATAGATGGGATGGGCTGAGAGTAGCAGGAGAGGGGGTCTATGGAGATAGATGGGATGGGCTGAAAGTAGCAGGAGAGGGGGGTCTATGGAGATAGATGGGATGGGCTGAGAGTAGCAGGAGAGGGGGTCTATGGAGATAGATGGGATGGGCTGAGAGTAGCAGAGAGGGGGTCTATGGAGATAGATGGGATGGGCTGGGAGTAGCAGGAGAGGGGGGTCTATGGAGATAGATGGGATGGGCTGAGAGTAGCAGGAGAGGGGGGTCTATGGAGATAGATGGGATGGGCTGGGAGTAGCAGGAGAGGGGGGTCTATGGAGATAGATGGGATGGGCTGAGAGTAGCAGGAGAGGGGGTGTCTATGGAGATAGATGGGATGGGCTGAGAGTAGCAGGAGAGGGGGTCTATGTAGATAGATGGGATGGGCTGAGAGTAGCAGGAGAGGGGGTCTATGGAGATAGATGGGATGGGCTGGGGAGTAGCAGGAGAGGGGGTCTATGGAGATAGATGGGATGGGCTGAGAGTAGCAGGAGAGGGGGTCTATGGAGATAGATGGGATGGGCTGAGAGTAGCAGGAGAGGGGGTCTATGGAGATAGATGGGATGGGCTGAGAGTAGCAGGAGAGGGGGTCTATGGAGATAGATGGGATGGGCTGAGAGTAGCAGGAGAGGGGGTCTATGGAGATAGATGGGATGGGCTGAGAGTAGCAGGAGAGGGGGTCTATGTAGATAGATGGGATGGGCTGAGAGTAGCAGGAGAGGGGGTCTATGGAGATAGATGGGATGGGCTGGGAGTAGCAGGAGAGGGGGTCTATGGAGATAGATGGGATGGGCTGAGAGTAGCAGGAGAGGGGGTCTATGGAGATAGATGGGATGGGCTGGGAGTAGCAGGAGAGGGGGTCTATGGAGATAGATGGGATGGGCTGAGAGTAGCAGGAGAGGGGGTCTATGGAGATAGATGGGATGGGCTGAGAGTAGCAGGAGAGGGGGTCTATGGAGATAGATGTAAGTAGTGCACTAACTAGTAGGGAATCGGGTGTTAGGCCACGGCCCCCATGAGTTTTCCCTGACCAAACCATGTGATTAGACCAGGTAAAAGCCCTTTTTTCATAGATTGGTCCTTCAAGTCGAATATGAACTCGCAACCTAAATCAGTGGCAGTATCAAACCTTACAGGCCCCTTGGCTGAATGTAGTGCACTAAATAAGGAATAGGGTGCCATTTGGGTCATAGCCCAGGAGTTTTCCCAGACCAGGTGAAACTCTAACCCAGACATAACCAAGTTCCTGACCGTCATCAATATTAGGGGGAAATACCTTCTTTCTCCCTAGATCGGTCTTTCAAGCTGGATATGAACCAGAAACCTAAAGTCTATCTTAATGTCTAATGTCTGTGAAGTCTCTACATGGTTCAGTGTTAGTTTTAAACGCTACTGTCCACAGAATGCTGTACCTCTCTGTCTAAGACATTTACATTTTAGTCATTTAGCAGACACTCTTATCCAGAGCGAATTACAGGAGCAATTAGGGTTAAGTGCCTTGCTCAAGGGCACATCGGCAGATTTTTCACCTAGCCGGCTCGGGGATTCAAACCAGCGACCTTTCGGTTACTGGTCCAACGCTCTTAACCACTAGGCTACCTGACCAGCCCTGTCCCACTGCCTACCCCTGCCACAGTCACAGTGGGCATCAGTAAGATCGGGGGGAAGTCTGAAACGGCACTCTATTCCTGGAGCACACTATTTTTCCTCTAGTGCACTAGAGAGCCAGGAGAGGCTCTGGGCCCTAGGATCCAACTCATGTTCAGTTCCAGTCAGATGGTGTTGGGGGCTGGTCCTGGTGACACACAGGAAGGGGAGGAGTCAGAGCTGCTCATCATGAGGGTGACTCCGCCCGCACACTCCTCTGGCACCTCCCCATCCTCGTCCCCTCCAATCAGGCCCTGGCATCGCAGGTTGATGATGGAGTCAGCGATGATACGAGCGGTCTTCTTCTGGTATCCACCAGACGTCACCATCAGGATGGGAATCCCTCTCCTCCGCGCTGCCCGGAACACTATTTCATCCCTTCTTACTATGCCCTGGAGGAGAGGAGAATTTACACCCCAGTTTGAGTCAAGACAGCCTCTAAAAAACGGTTTCATCATTTTGTCTTTGTCCTTTAATCTTAGTGCCCAATAACAACCCAAAGCTATGAGGATGAGGAAACATAACGTCATACTATGATAGAATCATTCCACACCCTTTCCCCTGAGGGCTATGTTACTACTCCTCCCCTAACCCTAACCCTTTCCCCATCTGGACAGGGGGGAGAGGTGGAGACATAACAATGAGGTCAGCTGATCTGGAGAGAAAGAAATAGTGATTACCATTACAGGGAATGGAAAAACTCCTCTACCAACACTACCTGTGGTGAGATAGCCAGTCCTCCCAGGGGGTCTCCGTCCAGGACGTCTGTCCCGGCGTTGTATACTATGATGTCAGAACGGACCTCGTTGAGAGCACCCTCCAAGTGGAGCTCTACCTTCTGGAGGTACTCATCATCCTCCGTCCCCCAGTCCAGCTCCACCTTACGCTTTATGGCTCCTGAGAGAGAGAGAGAAAGGTGTTCAGAGACAGGTAGACAGACAGGTCCTCCGTCCCCCAGTCCAGCTCCACCTTACGCTTTATGGCTCCTGAGAGAGAGAGAGAAAGGTGTTCAGAGACAGGTAGACAGACAGGTCCTCCGTCCCCCAGTCCAGCTCCACCTTACGCTTTATGGCTCCTGAGAGAGAGAGAGAAAGGTGTTCAGAGACAGGTAGACAGACAGGTCCTCCGTCCCCCAGTCCAGCTCCACCTTACGCTTTATGGCTCCTGAGAGAGAGAGAGAGAAAGGTGTTCAGAGACAGGTAGACAGACAGGTCCTCCGTCCCCAAGTCCAGCTCCACCTTACATTTAATCGCCCCGGAAACACAAGAATGTACAGTGCATTCGGAAAGTATTCAGACCCCTTGACTTTTTCCACATTTTGTTACGTTACAGCCTTATTCTAAAATGGATTAAATCAAATAATTTCATCAATCTACACACAATACCCAATAATGACAAAGTGAAAACAGGTTTTTAGAACATTGTGCTAATTTACAAAAAAACTAAAACAGAAATACCTTATTTACATAAGTATTAAGCCCCTTTGCTATGAGACTCTAAATTGAGCTCAGGTGCTTCCTGTTTCCATTGATCATCCTTGAGATGTTTCTACAACTTGATTGGAGTCCACCTGTGGGAAATGCAATTGATTGGACATGATTTGGAAAGGCACACACCTGTCTATATAGGATCCCACAGTTGACAGCGCATGTCAGAGCAAAAACCAAGCCATGAGGTTGAAGGAATTGTCCGTAGAGCTCAGAGACAGGATTGTGTCGAGGCACAGATCTGGGGAAGGGTACCAAAACATTTCTGCATCATTGAAATTCCCCAAGAACACAGTGGCCTCCATCATTCTTAAATGTAAGAAGTTTGATGTTTTTCTGTGGAGATGGGAGAATCTTCCAGAAGGACAACCATCTCTGCAGCACTCCACCAATCAGGCCTTTATGGTAGAGTGGCCAGACGGAAGCCACTCCTCAGTAAAAGGCACATGACAGCCCGCTTGGAATTTTCCAAAAGGCACCTAAAGGAATCAGACCATGAGAAACAAGATTCTCTGGTCTGATGAAACCAAGATTGAACTCTTTGGCCTGAATGCCAAGCGTCACGTCTGGAGGAAACCTGGCATCATCCCTACGGTGAAGCATGGTGGTGGCAGCATCATGATGTGGGGATGTTTTTCAGCGGCAGGGACTAGGTGACTAGTCAGGATCGAGGGAAAGCTGAACGGAGCAAAGTACAGAGAGATCCTTGATGAAAACCTGCTCCAGAGCGCTCAGGACCTCAGACCGGGGTGAAGGTTCACCTTCCAACACGACAACGACCCTCAGCACACAGCCAAGACAACGCAGGAGTGGCTTCTGGACAAGTATCTGATTGTCCTTGAGTGGCCCAGCCAGAGCTCGGACTTGAACCCGATCGAACATCTCTGGAGAGACCTGAAAATAGCTGTGCAGCGACGCTCCCCATCCAACCTGACAGAGCTTGAGAGGATCTGCAGAGAAGAATGGGAGAAACTCCCCAAATACAGGTGTGCCAAGCTTGTAGCGTCATACCCAAGAGGATTCGAGGCTGTAATCGCTGCCAAAGGTGCTTCAACAAAGATCTGAGTAAAGTGTCTGAAAACCTATGTAAATGTGATATTATTACTTATGTTTTATATAAATATATATATTTACATTTGCAAAAATGTCAAAAATCCTGTTTTTGCTTTGTCATTATGGGTTATTGTGTGTAGATTGATGAGAGAAAAAAACAATAAGGCAACAACGGAACAAAAGGGTCTGAATACTTTCCCAATGTACTGAATACAGGTACATAGACAGACAAGTAATTAGCTGTGTTCTAACTGGTCTTTCAGGACTATTAAGGTTATTAAAACCCATCATATCTGGCCCTGTGCCTGACTGGTTGCATCACCGCCTGGTATGGCAACTGCTCGGCCTCCGACTGCAAGGCACTACAGAGGGTAGTGCGTACGGCCCAGTACATCACTGGGGCCAAGCTTCCTGCCATCCAGGACCTCTATACCAGGCGGTGTCAGAGGAAGGCCCTAAAAAGTATGAAAGACTCCAGCCACCCTAGTCATAGACTGTTCTCTCTGCTACCGCACGGCAAGCGGTACTGGAGCGTCAAGTCTAGGTCCAAAAGACTTCTTAACAGCTTCTACCCCCAAGCCATAAAACTCCTGAACAGCTAATCATGGCTACCCAGACTATTTGCTTTGCCCCACCACCCCACCCCTTCCCACCCCACCCCAACCCCCTCTTTTACGCTTCTGCTACTCTGTTTATTATCTACGCATAGTCACTTTAACTCTACCCACATGTACCTATTACCTCAATTACCTCGACTAGCCAGTGCCCCCACACATTGATTCTGCACCCGGTACTTTCTGGGTGATTTAAATATTGACTGGCTTTCATCAGGCTGCCCACTCAAGAGAAAGCTTCAAACTAACTAGTGCCTGCAACCTGGTTCAGGTTATCAATCAACCTACTATGGTAGTTACAAACAGTACAGGAATTAAATCATCAACATGTATTGATCACATCTTTACTAATGCTGCAGAGATTTGTTTGAAGCAGTATCCAGATCCATTGGATGTAGTGATCACAATATAGTAGCCATATCTAGGAAAACCAAATTCCAAAGGCTGGGCCTAATATTGTGAATAAGAGGTCATACAATAAATTTTGTAGCGATTTCTATGCTGTTGATGTAAAGGATATTTGTTGGTCCGTGGTGTGTAATGAGGAGCAAACAGACGCTGCACTTGACACATTTATGAAATTGCTTATTCCAGTTACTAATAAGCATGCACCCATTAAGAAAATGACTGTCAAAACTGTTAAATCCCTGTGGATTGATGAGGAATTGAAACATTGTATGGTTGAGATGGATGAGGCAAAAGGAATGGCAAATAAGTCTGGCTGCACAACCGATTGGCAAACGTATTGCAAATTGAGAAATCATGTGACTAAACTGAATAAAAAAGAAGAAACTACACTATGAAACAAAGATAAATGACATAAAGAATGATAGTAAAAAGCTTTGGAGCACCTTAAATGAAATGTTGGTAAAAAAGGCAAACTCAGCTCCATCATTCATTGAATCAGATGGCTCATTCATCACAAAACCCACTGATATTGGCCAACTACTTACATTATTTTTTCATTGGCAAGATTAGCAAACATAGGCATGTCATGCCAGCAACAAACACTGACACTACACATCCAAGTATATCTGACCAAATTATGAAAGACAAGAATAGTAATTTTTGAATTCCATAAAGTGAGTGTGGAAGAGGTGAAAAAATAATTGTTGTCTATCAACAATGACAAGCCACCGGGGTCTGACAACTTGGATGGAAAATTACTGAGGATAATAGCAGATGATATTGCCACTCCTATTTGCCATATCTTCAATTTAAGCCTACTAGAAAGTGTGTCTCCTCAGGCCTGGAGGGAAGCAAAAGTCATTCCTCTACCTAAGAATAATAAAGCCCCCTTTACTGGCTCAAATAGCCGGCCAATCAGCCTGTTACCAACCCTTAGTAAACTATTGGAAGAAATGGTGTTTGACCAGATACAATGCTATTTTACAGTAAACAAAATGACAACAAACTTTCAGCATGCTTACAGAGAAGGACATTCAACAAGGACAGCGCTTACACAAATGACTGATGATTGGCTGAGAGAAATTGATGATAAAAAGGTTGTGGGGGCTGTTTTGTTAGACTTCAGTGCGGCTTTTGACATTATCGATCATAGTCTGTTGCTCGAAAAACGTATGTGTTATGGCTTTATACCCCCTGCTATATTGTGGATAAAGAGTTACCTGTCTAACAGAACACAGAGGGTGTTCTTTAATGGAAGCCTCTCCAACTTAATCCAGGTAGAATCAGGAATTCCCCAGGGCAGCTGTCTAGGCCCCTTACTCTTTTCAACCTCTACTAATGACATGCCACTGGCTTTGAGTAAAGCCAGTGTGTCTATGTATGAGGATGACTCAACACTATACACGTCAGCTACTACAGTGACTGAAATTACTGCAACACTTAACAAAGAGTTACAGTTACTTTCAGAATGGGTGGCAAGGAATAAATTAGTCCTAAATATTTCTAAAACTAAAAGCATTGTATTTGGGACAAATCATTCACTAAACCCTAAACCTCAACTATATCTTGTAATAAATAATGTGGAAATTCAGCAAGTTGAGGTGACTAAACTGCTTGGAGTAACCCTGGATTGTAAACTGTCATGGTCAAAACATACTGATACAACAGTAGCTAAGATGGGGAGAAGTCTGTCCATAATAAAGCGCTGCTCTACCTTCTTAACAGCACTATCAACAAGGCAGGTTCTACAGGCTCTAGGTTTGTCGCACCTGGACTACTGTTCAGTCGTGTGGTCAGGTGCCACAAAAAAGGACTTAGGAAAATTACAATTGGCTCAGAACAGGGCAGCATGGCTGGCCCTTGGATGTACACAGAGAGCTAATATTAATAATATTCATGTCGATCTCTCCTGGCTCAAAGTGGAGGAGAGATTGACTTCATAACTACTTGTATTTGTGAGAGGTATTGACATGTTGAATGCACCGAGCTGTCTGTTTGAACTACTGGCACACAGCTCAGACACCCATGCATACCCCACAAGACATGCCACCAGAGGTCTCTTCACAGTCCCCAAGTCCAGAACAGACTATGGGAGGCGCACAGTACTACATAGAGCCATGACTACATGGAACTCTATTCCACATCAGGTAACTGATGCAAGCAGTAGAATCACAATACTGTAGATATGTGGTAGTGGTGGAGTAGGGGCCTGAAGGCACACAGTGTGTTGTGAAATCTGTTATGAATGTATTTTACATGTTTTTAAAATTGTATGAACTGCCTTAATTTTGCTGGACCCCAGGAAGAGTAGCTGCTGCCAAATACAAATACAAATGTATCGGTTGTAGAGGGTTAGGGGTCATAGGTTAGGGGTCAGGGGTCATAGGTTAGGGGTCATAGGTTAGGGGTCATAGGTTGGGGTCAATAGGTTATAGTCAGGGGTTTAGGGTCATATGTTTAGGGTCAGGGGTTAGGGGTCAGGGGTTAGGGGTCAAGGGGTAGGGGTTAGGGGTCAGGGGTTAGGGGTCATAGGTTAGGGGTTAGGGGTCATAGGTTAGGGGTCATAGGTTATAGGTCAGGGGTTAGGGGTCATAGGTTAGGGGTCAGGGTTAGGGGTTAGGGGTCATAGGTTAGGGGTCAGGGGTTAGGGGTCAGGGGTTAGGGGTCATAGGTTAGGGGTCAGGGGTTAGGGGTCAGGGGTTAGGGGTCATAGGTTAGGGGTCAGAGGTTAGGGGTCAGGGGTTAGGGGTCAGAGGTTAGGGGTCAGGGGTTAGGGGTCAGGGGTCAGGGGTCAGGGGTCAGGGGTTAGGGGTCAGGGGTCAGGGGTCATAGGTTAGAGGTCATAGGTTAGGGGTCATAGGTTAGAGGTGCCTTACTCTTAGCGTATCCGTCTCCAGGGTAGATGTATCGGTTGTAGAGGGTTAGGGGTCATAGGTTAGGGGTCAGGGGTTAGGGGTCAGGGGTTAGAGGTCAGGGGTTAGGGGTCATAGGTCAGGGGTTAGGGGTTAGGGGTCATAGGTTAGAGGTGCCTTACTCTTAGCGTATCCGTCTCCAGGGTAGATGTATCGGTTGTAGAGGGTTAGAGGTCAGGGGTTAGGGGTCAGGGGTTAGGGGTCAGGGGTTAGAGGTGCCTTACTCTTAGCGTATCCGTCTCCAGGGTAGATGTATCGGTTGTAGAGGGTTAGGGGTCATAGGTTAGGGGTCAGGGGTTAGGGGTCAGGGGTTAGGGGTCAGGGGTTAGGGGTCATAGGTTAGGGGTCATAGGTTAGAGGTGCCTTACTCTTAGCGTATCCGTCTCCAGGGTAGATGTATCGGTTGTAGACGTCCATGATGAAAACACGTCTGTCATCCAGGAAGTCACGCTCATGACCGTTCCCCTAGGCACGAAGACAAAGTGATGTCAGAGCCAGTTTACACAGAGACCCTTTAGCATTCCTGATAGCATTCCTGATAGCATTCCTGATAGTATTCCTGATAGTATTCCTGATAGTATTCCTGATAGTATTCCTGATAGCATTCCTGATAGCATTCCTGATAGCATTCCTGATAGCATTCCTGATAGCATTCCTGATAGCATTCCTGATAGTATTCCTGATAGTATTCCTGATAGTATTCCTGATAGTATTCCTGATTGTATTCCTGATTGTATTCCTGATAGCATTCCTGATAGCATTCCTGATAGCATTCCTGATAGCATTCCTGATAGCATTCCTGATAGTATTCCTGATAGCATTCCTGATAGCATTCCTGATAGTATTCCTGATAGCATTCCTGATAGCATTCCTGATAGCATTCCTGATAGTATTCCTGATAGTATTATATTACCTGCTGACAGCCAGAGTGACAGCGTGAGATGAGGGCTAAATAATGCTGCCGTCCGTTCAAAGATGTTCCTGTTAAAATGATTCTCATCCCAAAGTCAATGCCTCTCCATTCTTCATCATTCTTCATATCCTTCCATTTCTCGATCTATTCACTAGTGTCAGGAAGCTGTCATGGCTGCTGTCACTTTTACATTACAGTGTCAGGAAGCTGTCATGGCTGTCATCCTCCTCTCCTCGCCTCCCCCCCCCCCACCCTATCCTCCTCCTCTCCTCCCCTCCCCCTACCCCCCCCCACCCTATCCTCCTCCTCTCCTCCCCTCCCCCCACCCCACCTATCCTCCCTCCTCTCCTCCCCCCTCCCCCCACCACCCTTCCTCCTCCTCTCCCCTCCCCCCACCACCTCATCCCCTCCTCCTCTCCTCACCCATCCTCCCTCCTCCCCCCCACCACCCACCTCCTCTCTCC